AAGATTACAATACCATATTTTTACTGCACCCTTTTTATGTTTAGATATGTTTAAATACCCAAATACTTAGCATTGTGCTACAACTGCCTACAGTACTCAGTACAGTAACATGCCATACAGGTTTGTAGCCTAGGATTCATAGGCTATACAGGCATCCTCAAACTACCGCCCACTGGCAACATGGAGCCCGCCCGAGGACATTTATCCAGCCTGCCAGGTGTTTTTGCCGCTGCTGCCTGTCCTGCTTAGCAGCCGACCTGTCCGGGGCCCACAGTGCGCATGTGTGGAATATGCGCTGCACTCTCCAACGGCCCTCCAAAGGTCTGAGGGACAGTGAACTGGCCCCCTGTTTAAAAAGTTTGAGGACCCCTGTGTAGCCGAGGTGCCTAGTAGCCTATACCATCTAGGTGTATGTCAGTATACTCCATGATGTTTGCACAATGACAAAATCACCCAATGACACATTTTTAAGAATGTATCCCCGTAGTTAAGTGATATGAATGGCTATACTTTAAATCATGTCTAGATACTAATACTTAATACAACATAAATATTATATAAAAAGTTGTTAGACTCTATGGCTTAAAAATAATGATATAAGAAAACCTATGTATGTTCAGTACAGATGCAACTATCCAATAACTATCCAATTTTTTTTTTCTGAATATTTTCAATCTGTGGTTGGTTGAATCCACAGACAGGAACCCATGGGTATGGAAGGTTGATTGTATATGCATATTCGTGTGTGTGTGTGTGTATGTGTGTGTGTGTGTGTGTGTGTGTGTGTGTGTGTGTGCCTATGTGTATAGTTCCTAATGAAACCAAACACTGCTCTGGGGATGATTAAAAAGTATTTAATATAAAGATCACTACTAGTATGAATTTGTTGCATAAGAAAGACCTTTGCCTGCCATCAAATCTAATTTGAGTTTCTGTGAGAAAATTCAGGATCGTCCTAAGTTTGGAAGTATAAAGAATGAGAGTTACTCTCTGGTGATAGCAGGCCTAGATGGGTTATCTATCAGTTGGAATGTAGCATAGGAGGACCTGATCATTGAGGTCTTATTTACAGTTATGACTAGAGCAGGCATTCCCTCCCTACCTTCTAATGTCTAATAATGAGTATATAGGATTTTAAAGATCTGAATTCATATAGTCTTCCAGACTGTTTGCTACACTTATGTGTTGACCAAACATGATAACTCTAGCTTTATGACATGACAGTAGACTTAATTTGCAAAGACTTCTGTGACAAAAAATAAGTCATTTTACTTTAGCCTCAAATGCTTTGCCTTTCAAAATGGAGTTAATAACATTAACAACAATAACCATAAGTCTAATTTTTTTAGTCCTTTTCCTATGCCAGGAACTACAGTCTGCACTTCACATGGGTTATCTCATTTATTGATTAGAGCAACCCAAAGGCTCCTCTTTGATGTAAATTACATGGTACAAAATTGATAAGTAGTGAAATGAAGTTGGTAAAATGAGGAAGTTGAATTGATTTGTAAACTATTTTTCAGTTATTTGTTTATTTATGAATTTTTATTTATGTTTTTATATAATATGGACATAATTTTTCACAATTAAAAAAGAAAGATTTGGCTATGTAAGAAAGAAACAACTGAAAATCTACCGAGGAACATTTTAGTGCAAGTAGAGTCTACACTAGTGGCTACACGAACACCTATAATTTATAATATGTTAATCTCTCTGAGGAACCTAGAAGTATGGAAAAAAGAAACAACAAAGTTATTTCTCTGAATTAAAACAATAGACTAATAAAGAAGGTAAGTGATGGACTGAGTTTTCACTTTTGATGAAAAGGATCTCTGTTTAGAAGTAAATGAACCTCAATATCTACTTCTTGAAGGAAAAAGCACAAACCCAATATTTAAGGCTGTAAAAGATTGACTGGGATGCTTGTTGAAATATTACTAAATATTTAACTCTGCCGGTATTTTTATTGTGGTTGTAATAATTTTAGTTTCTGTTAGTGTTCCAGATACAAGGACACAAGTCTTTTTTAAAATCATACACATAATGTTGTTGCAGAAATACCTTTTCTACTCTGGTACTGATTTTATGGAAGAGAAAAATTGAGGGCGAAGGAGGTTAAACAATCTATCTGCTTTTGCATAATGGTGGTGGATCCAGGATTGGATTCTAAGCCTGTCAATTCCAGGGCCAGAGCTCTCTTAAATTCTATGATACGAGTGTCAAACAAAATTTAATTCCTTTTTCCTGATTGACATCTTTTTTTTTTTGTTATGATGAAAACATGTAAAGGGAATCCCATCTTGACTATCACCAATTCCATAAACAGGCCTATTCAGGGTCAATACCTGTTCAACCCTGTATTATCATTAAATGTGTCTCTTTACCTCTAGTACTATTCCTTCTTCTAGCTGATATTAATAGAGCCATCCAGCTTTCTTATTGGTGTTGTGTAATATATCCTATCTTTTTATTTTTAAGTTATCTGTGTCCTTATATTTAAAATAGAGTCAGGGAAGGAAATGTATTTTAAATATTATATGAAATATGTTAAGCAAAAGTTCTCTTGGCAAAAAGAGAATCTTACAAATCAAGAAAGGCAGTAAGGGACCACATTCTCCCTATACACCCCCAGGGTATTCTGATGCTTAGCTGCATATTCAACATTATCTCAGAACACCAGATGCCCAAATCTAGAAATCTTAGGACCTGTGGGAAGATATAGTCACCAGTACAGGAGTGGAGAGACAGGAGTTTCTGTCTCAGTGCTAACCTCAGATTGGATGTTACCTATTCTGTGGGGAGGGGGAAGGATAGGGTTGTCCAGGTAAACCAGAGTGAACACCTAGGTTAATTTATTTTTACATTTTTAAACACATTTCCTTGTATTGTGTCTGCTTTAGCTGTGCTTTCTTCCTTCACTCCTCTAAACTTTTGGTATAAAGCAACATGGCACATGACAATCTTGAGAGATTTTTTGGCAATATGAATGAAGTATTCTTGTGGGGGAAAAAAAAACCAAAAAAACACAAAGCTCTTTGAGCATACCTTCAGTAGAAATACCTATTGCTGAGTTTCAATCATTGATGAACGTAGGGTTGAGCTGAGAACAAGAAAAATGTTTAAATCTTCTCCATAGAAATAAAGAGATTATTAAATAAAATATAAATTTAGATACATTAACTACTTTAATAGTAGCTAAAAACATTTCTGGTTATAAACCATTTGATTTGTAAAGGAGAACTCAATGGTGAGTCTGCTTGGCATATATGTAAACTATCAAAAAATTTGCTGTTGCTGCTATTATGCACTATTGTGTCAAGGAGTAAGCGTTAATGTTAGTTGACCTGCCTATTGTACATTTCTTTTTTTTTTTTCTTGATCAGAGAATAAAAGCCAAGTTAATTTCTCAATTACATATTGAAATGCACACCAAATAATTTTTAAGTGGTGAATTATGTGAAGTATTTGCAAATGGGTATGTAACTAGGGCCTTGAATATATTCTTCAACATATGTATAGGTAAGAAAATGCCATTAACATGTGAGCTGTAAGTTGGGGTATATTGTCTGTAGGCTATCTGTTTGCCATTTAAGAAAGATCAGGTCCATTCAATATTTACATTTTTATGTGCTAGAGTATGAAAAAGTAGGAAAAAAATTCTGCCATTTAGAAGAGCATGTGTGTGAGAGAGACTGTGTATGTTTAAATGTTACTTACGTTTGTGTCACAAAAGAATGATGTTTCCTTCTAACATTTCCTAGACAGATAAAGCCCATTAGTAATAATATGATAAAGAAATACCATAGAAAATTATTATTATTACTGCTAAATTGCTGAGAAAAATCTTCCAAAGAGACTCCCCTCTTTTTGCTGTAATTATTCTGTGGTATAACATTTAGGCCAATTTTATGCTTTAAGAAAATGCAACTGATACATTTTGCATCATATTCTTCAAGCCAGATTCATATTAATATTTATGGGTTCTCTATACATTCTTGTATGTTATCCTAAAGCAATGAGTTCTCTAGATATTTATCATTTATTCTAGTGTCTTTAAGAGGGTACATTTTTATTTGCATAGCCACAACTCTTCTATATGCTATAAGTTTAATAAAATGGATCATTTGAAAATGATTGCTCTAAGCAAGAGTGCGTTATGATTTGGCAAAGAGATCATTGATTTCTGTATGGGGGAAAAATGGAATTTGAGTTGCGTTGGTACCATTTGCCTTCAACATGTAAAATGCATAGGATCTTTAACAGAGTAGGAAAGATTAGAGACATATGCTCTTTCAACTCTTATTCAAAAATTGTCTATAATTCATCCTACTGGAAAAATAATATGAAAGCAAGCAAGCACCAAAATATTACATTGGAACGGTGTGTTGTTCTAGTGGAGTAACTCAGACATGTCTTAAAGAAGAATGGCTTCTATTGCATATCTACAGACTAGTTTTGTCTTTCACATTAAGATTTATGTTTTATGGATTTTCTTTAAGATAAAAGAAAAAGAAGCAGTTCTCACTGTAGGAGAGTCAGCTACTTTTTAAAATCTCTTCCTTTTTCTTCCTCTCTCTTAGTCTGGATATATCTCTCTTAATATCAGAAGTCTTACTGAATGAATTGAGATATCAAACTCTGTTATTCCTGGCATTTCCTTTTGTTCAGGATAAAATTCAATGATAACTACTGTGAGAAGTGATGGACAGAGAAAGATTCATGTCATTAAATGAAAACAAGAGATAGATGATGAAATTCCCCCTGTGTTTGAATCTCTGCCTTCCACCTTCATCTTCCCCAAAATATCATTTATAAATAGTTTAAGGAAGATATTTTTGTCTTTTTGACAAAGAATATATTATATCTTATGCTAGATACTCAATTGAGTATGTCTTATTTTAAAACAGATTTGTAAACTAGCAGGGATTTAAGAGCATTATCTCTGCTAAAGAATATATATGAGTAGAATATGTTTTCAAATAATTTTCTTTGGTTTGCAGGTACAATTCTGGTGGACAACATGTTGATCAAAGGGACTGCTGGAGGACCAGACCCCACCATAGAACTCTCTTTAAAGGACAACGTGGATTACTGGGTGTTGTTGGATCCTGTTAAACAAATGCTTTTCCTGAACAGCACGGGCAGAGTTCTGGATAGAGATGTTAGTAATTTCTTTCTTCTTTGCCCCTGTATTGTAACTTTATTATGCTTTAAATATCTACGTGTGTTTAATATGATGTTAAATTTTCTTCATAATTTGAGTTTATTTCCTGGGTATATCAACAACATTTATTTTTTGTAACTCCTTGAAAGAAGAATGAGAAAGGAAGGGAAGGGAATAACCATGTTATTTCCATTTTAATCTCCTGGAAGAGGATCAGATATTTGAACAAGAAGAGAATAAAGTGTTAAGAATAAAGAGGTAGTAACCTTTGTAAAGTAGAACAAGCATGACTATAATCCACTTCTCTCCAACAACAGCGGAGTATTAGAGTGTCACTCAGCTGTTGGCTTGAAGACAGACTTTGGTGGATGCATTCACACCCACCTTTTACTATTAAAAGTAGTAAGGGTTGGTTGAAGAACAAGACTGTGGCAGTGTACTTACACAGTTGCAAAAAAAGGAACAGTTGAGCAAAAGTTTCCTAGCCAAGTTCCAGTCCAGTAGTTCTCAGGCAGCATGACATAAGTAATTTGTTATTAAGAAAAAATAAATTACTAAAATTGTTCCTAGTCTCATTTCTGAAAAAGCTGAAAACCTTTAGTGGATTTAAGTAGCTCTCTAATGTAACTTTGTTCTCACCTATTTATACCCCTGCCTTTCTTGAATGCAGAGAAGGGAGAAAGGATGTGGGAGATTATAACCTGTAATTGTACAGGACCCTGGGAAAACTGGGGGGGGGGGACATATGACTCAAGTTTCCAGTTTATGAAATCCAGATGTCAGATATTCAGTTTAGTGAACCTGAATCATCTCACATCATTGCTCAGGGTTTATGTTCCCTTTTATATTAGGTTATGGAGTCTATGATTCTTTAATCTATTTCTTGTCTAAAATTTGGAGTTTTTAATAAATCTCAATGTGCCTCTTATTTTAGTGCAGTTTATGATATCCTTTATTAACTATGATTTTTTTTATTTCTTGTGAATCAGGTTTTCCTATTGCCATATTGCCATTATTGCCTATTGCCATAGCACTTTTAGGGCTCCATTTATCAAAGCATGAAGGCTTTTTATCCTGAAAATTCTTAACCCAGTGCCTATTTTGTGTGAAGCATAGACCATTGCGCTTGACAAGTAGTGAGGTAAATCAATGCTTTTAGTCCAAATCTGAGCACAACTGGAAATTATAATCTCATTTAATTGCAAAATAATATAAGCTTATGATAACATGTCCAAAAATTTAAAAAAGCATATGTACAAAAGTAATTTTACCATCTAGGAAAAATAACATTTAGTATTTATACTGCCACATATTACTTCAAGCATATGCATGTTCACATATATATTTATAATACTTATTAATTAAAATTGGATCATATTGTACATTATGCTTTCACCTTGCTTTTTACATGTAATCTATAATACACATATTTCAATGTGAATGAATGTATGTTTATATAATTATTTTTAATATAATAGCTGCAAAATGTTTTATTGGATGAATAAATTAGGGATTTTTTTAAACCAATCCCTTATTTTGAAACTCTAGTATGTTTGCAGTTTTTAAGATTACAAAAATGCTGCAGTGAAAATTTTTGCACATATATCTTTGTATGCTTGTCTAGTTTTTTTTTTTTATAAAGACAGATTTATTTACCTTTATTATATTACTGGGATAGTGAGTTATATGCATTTTACTAAATGTTCCTCTAGATATATGGTACGTAATGCTTCCACACCAATATTGCTAAATAATCATTTGATATACAATAATAATACCATTTAAACATTTAAAATGATTTTAGTCTACTTGGAAAGCTGTTGTCTGTCTTTACTTTGTTGTTTTAACATTATATCAATTTAGAATAAGATTTTTCCCTGGATATGCTTCTCTATGCTTTTAGTTAACATTTTCTATTAAAAAGGCAGATAATTCATTTGAAATAACTGTTGAGTGCACATTTTTCTTATATATCCTACATTTATAAAAAAAACACTGCCCAGTATTAACATAATATATATTAATTATGTAATATGAACATGTGCATATATAGGTATATGTGTGTCTAAAATTTTATTAAATATAAAAGATGTTTACAATCAAAGGCTACATTTTAATAAAATCTATATTATTAAATAACTGTTTTATTATGAATAAATACCAAAGTATTTGTAGTTATTTTAAAATATAGGACATTTGCTGGAAATGTAATTCTTTAAATCATTGCCAAAATTCTTTGTGTTGTTTATTTTTATGAATATAATGAATTATAATAAAAAGATAATTGCTCTGATTAGCAAAATAGAGCTAATAATCAGGATTTGACCCTACAAATAACTGCCAATGCTGCATGTTATGATCATTTTAATATTTCTTAATGGAAAACTTCTCTGGAAATTTTTTAGTGGAAAATTTTACAGTGAGTCTTTGGTATACAATGATACTTTAAAAAAATATGATGAGGGAGAATATTAAGAGTATCAATTCCATAAAAATGAAAAATAATTTGGTTTTAGGAAAATTGTAAGTTTACCAGGGACAGAGGAATACTGGTTGGTCTTGGACCGTTTGGTAGCCAGTCTCTACCTATCTTTGTGTGTATTCTCTATTTTCCTCCCCGTAGATCAGACTCCTTTGAATACTTATGATCCTGCTCTCCTGTTTCCTTATTTTGTACTTGACTTTAGTTCTTTTTTATGTTCACATAATGCCAGTTCCCTCTAAAGTTTCAATGCAATGGCTACTAAAGAGTGCTTATAGCCAGAGAAGGAGGATTGTGGTCATGTGGTGGATCCATATGCAGTTATTCCTGTCTTTTCAGCAGTAGCTAGGAAAAAGTGTATTAGCCAGAGAAAGTATTACAAATCATGTTTCTACTCTTTGTTCACTGAGGCCATAAACTATCTCTTAATAGGAACATTTGAAAAATTATGGCCACATAGAAGTAAAAGAAAGCAATATAAACAAAAAATATTTTTAACATTAAATTTTAAAACATAAGCTGATAAACTAATGATCTTCAGGAAAATTTACAAAAGTAAAAACAAAGCATAAAAGTGCCTAAGTCCCAAATATTTGTATCTAATTAGAAAACTTTATATGGGATTATATGAATATAAAATATTTGACAATTTTCAAGTATGGTCTGTAACTCTGTTCCTAAAGGTCATCAATTTTTATTTCTTACTTTTATTTTTGTTTACTAAAATTATATTTTAAAAAAGGAGAAGATATAAAATCAAAAGTCACAAATGATAAAACAACCATAATACAATGTCTGGTGGGAAAATGAAAAGTCTCAGTAATAAAGGAGCATCACATAAGAACCTTTGAAATGCAAAATTATTGTCTCACTTTGCTAATATTCTCTAATCACTATTGGACATGAAATAATAATGGTCATATTAACATCAATAATTAAAATAATAATAGGAAAAAAATATGACTCTGACACAGTTCTTTATTGGTTGTCTGAAAATTCTGGGAAAATTTTGAAAGCTTTTGAACACAGAGAAATTGTGTTCATGACTACACCAAACGTCTTAACTTCTTTTCTTTCAGAGTCTAATTTGGTAGCTAGACAAAGGTGTTGACTTCTCTGTCCAAGCAAAAATCATTTAACTGCTAAGTCCGCTAGTTTTATCTCCCCATTGTATCTTGAATCTGCATCCATCAGCATCACTTTAGCACAAGTCCTCTTAGTTCTCACTTGGATAATCTAATCGTTCTCTCTACCATCTTTCTTGATTCAACCTGTTCTATTAGATTTAGTGCCCCAGAGTTCTGACCTTATCAGGAGACAGCTATTCATTGCAAACTGTTTTATCTTTGGCCTTGAGGTTTCCTAGATTCAAGTTGCAACTCGTCTATATCATTTCTTTTTATTTAAAAATATATAGATTATAATCTAAAAAACTGAGCTAATTGTTATTTCCTAAACAATCTAATTTTTTCTTAGCATGAATTCCTGATATTCTTTCCAACCAAAGTTCTGAATTCACTATCCAGTGCTATCAATTGAATTTTATCTACTTCTAAGACATGACTTAAATAATAATTTTTATAAAAATTTTCTAATGATAACACTTGTATGAATTTCCTTGTTCTAAAATTTATAATCCTTAATATCCTTTTGCCTTATCATATAGTTATTTATGTTCATCACATATCAGTTTTACAGAGTTTGCTGTTAGAGTCCAAGGACTGTGTCTTATTAATCTCAGCCCACATTGAACTTTGCATATAGCAAATACCTACAATTAAAAGGACTGCATGTCCTTAATAACTCATTATGAAAAATCTACAAATTTATCTACATCTGCCTAATTATATTTTCAAATTGGTATTTTTTTTTAGGCAATTTCTTCTGTAAATATACTATTATTCATTGTGAAACTTAATTTGTAGAAGATACAACTCTGGCCAGCGATTTCCTTTAACTTTGAGTCTTTATTTAAAAATAACTTCTGAAACACACTGTCTTACTTCCTTTCACTGTCTTCCAGATGATTTGTGAAATAATGAAGATTCTTTACTTTGTAAAAGTAGTAAGTATACAGGCAGAAAAATCATGACAAAAACAATTTATTCATGGCCGGGCGCTGTGGCTCACGCCTGTAATCCTAGCTCTTGGGAGGCCGAGGCGGGCGGATTGCTCAAGGTCAGGAGTTCGAAACCAGCCTGAGCAAGAGCGAGACCCCGTCTCTACTATAAATAGAAAGAAATTAATTGGCCAACTGATATATATATAAAAAATTAGCCAGGCATGGTGGCGCATGCCTGTAGTCCCAGCTACCCGGGAGGCTGAGGCAGAAGGATCACTCGAGCCCAGGAGTTTGAGGTTGCTGTGAGCTAGGCTGACGCCACGGCACTCACTCTAGCCTGGGCAACAAAGCGAGACTCTGTCTCAAAAAAAAAACAAAAAAAAAACAATTTATTCATGTTAGGAATAGATAAACATTGCCTATACTTTATGAAAAATAAAATAAATTCTTACAAGTTTGTTACATTTTCCCCCCTACATCAAGACTTAGAAAGAATGCAGTTTCTAAAAGAAAAAAAAAAAAGGAAAAAAATGCCATTAGATTGAAAATGTGTGTTATAATCTGCACTCTTCACATAATAAATCCCTTATAACAAATTTACTTTGTATGTTGAATCCTAAGTGATTGAGAAACTCATAGATAATTTTCTATTATATATTTTTGTTTTTTTAACTACAAAATTTGTTCATATTTGTTAGCATAGTTTCTCCTTTTATAATACTTCATATCTCAAACCCACTTTTCAATGATAACCACTATTAAGTGTTGCCGTGTATAATTACTGATATGCATAGCAAAACCTGTATACACACAGGGACATTGATACACAAATATGCAAGTATACATTCAGAGTATTGTGCTAAGCATTCATTTTTAGATTAAAAGAATAGTTTTCATGTCTAGGCATATGTGAATGGTAATTGTTCTGAATAATTACCACAACACTATTTATACACAGCTTTTTGTTTCTTTGTTTCATGAATGAAGCAATTAAAGAAAATCAGAAAAGATAAAATTACTATGACTTATTTTTACCACCAGTCATGAAAGATAAACCAACATTTCCTTAACATATTCTTAAGCATTTTGGAGTCCCTAAACTCTCACTAATCGATTTAGTAGAACTGTACTTGATATATTTATGACCTTCTTATACAGCAGAACAGAATCTATTCCAACACAAAATTGCAATGTGCATTATATATTAGCCACGGGGAATTCTTGTCTTCAGCATTATCCATTATGGTTTGAATTTATTACCATCTAAGTTCTAGCTAAGCTACTAACAGTTGCACAGGGAGCTAAATTTGAGAGTGACAACAGTTCTGGGTGACCTGGTTATATCTAATTTATGGGTACTTAGCAGGCCTAAGTGGGGGTTCAGTGCACAGCCCATTTGATCCTCTATTTAAAAAGATTATGACCTTTCTGTCCCAGTGCTACCACTCAAAGTAGAATTAGAAGTTGAGATGGAATGATTTTATAGGTCTCTGTTTCAAGTTATGTTCTTCTAAAGATAAATAACTTTAGAAGAACATAACTCACCTGATTGTCTTCCAACAGGTATGCCAAGGACTAATAGTACATGTTTTTGTTTTTGCTTTACAACTAAAATATGCAGAATCTATCTTTAAAAGACTATTAAAGCAAACACTTTAAATCTGGTATTAAAAATGGAGGTTATTTCATTCAAATTATTTCCAGGAAACATCTAAGAGGTAGTCTTTTAAAATGGTCTTTTTTCCTGAAGTTTGCAGATTTTCAGTGATGAATCTTCCTTTATAGAATACTCCATTCTATCTTGGGCCACTTTGGTTTAAGAAAAAGCTTATATTGAAAAATATGCTTTATAATACATTTTATTCATTTTTTCTGCTCTGTGGAACCACTAATAGATATTTTCATAACAGCCATTTAGATGTCTGGAAAATCTCATCTTCTTTAGTTTAAAATCCTCAAATTTTATGATGATACATTCTCAGAGTATTCAAACTGCACTTCCTAATCACCTGTAAAATGGTGCCTTTTATAATCTACCTATTTCTGCATCTGATAATATTAATGAATATAACATTTGCATTAGTGTTCCAGCAGTGTGAGCATGTAAAATCAGCTTTTAGCTATCAAAATTTCACAATTGTATTTTAACATTAATTATATTTAAATGATTTATTTTATTTTATATTACAAATTGGAGATTTTAAATTTGTTATTGTAAAAATTTACTATTTTTGTAACCCACTATTCTGACTTATTAAGATGACTTTGAACTTTGTCTTTGTCATTAAATGTTTTATATACTTTCTGAACTCTGTGACATTCACAGATTTTATGCACATGACTTTAATGGCTTCACTTATTTCAATGATTAAAACTGAACCGAGGTAGATATTAGAACACAGAACTATGTGAAAATTCACTATAAACCTTTCTTCATATGTCAATAATGCCTTCAATTATTTTTTCTAGGTACCATTATTCAGACAGATACAAATAAATTCAACTGTCTTTTTCTTTTTTGGCCATAAAATAACTTAAGATTAAACAATGCTTTGCTCCAGTTTAGATGTAGCTTCTATAGCATTCTTATTTATAAACGTGACATGCATGTTTTTAATGAATATATCCTAGCTTTCAGGGATTATTGCTGTATTTTATAACTGGTTTTAATAAAAATATTTAATTATTTATTTTGTAATCTAAAATGATTAGTTTATATTTTATAGATTTTGTTTCTTTCATTGTTTTGGAAATTTAGCTTTTTATCAATAAAATAATTTACATTCATTATATGTTTAATATGCACCCAGTATATGATAATCTTATGTAATATTTATAACGATTCACATTGGTATAACTATTATATCCCCATTTTTAGACATGAAAGAGCTAAGCAAAGAGAGATTTTGCTCCTTTCCGTGATCATACAGGTTGTAGTTTATGGAATTATAATGGAAAACCAAACTGTTTTATTCTGGATAGTATATACTCATCTGTCCCAGGCACAGCACTAGTACAGGATAGAGGGATATAGTAATGACTAAATAACACCTAAGTTTTATGAAGCTTCTAGTCTAGTGAAGAGAGAAAAACTGAAACAAATATATAAGACATATGATATGCCAAGTAGTGAATAAGAAATGCAATAAAGAAAAACAAATAGAAAGTTTAAAGGAAGGGGCATGTTGGAGACAAGGTATGTAAGGTGGAGTGGCCAGGATAGGTCATTTCAATAAAATGATAAATTTAGAGATAAAATCTTACAAGCTCAAAAGAGATTTTAAAAATCACAAAGAAATATTTGTAGCATTTAATACTCTGACTCTAGAGTCAAAAGATATAGATGTGAGTCCCAGCTCTACAAGCTCTTAGCCATGGTATTTGAGTAAATAAGTCCCCTTTGATGACACTTTTCTCCTTCAAGGAAATTATCATAAAGAATAACTAGGCAAGTGAGCACATTTTATCTATAGTATGTATTGAAGTATTCTTTATAATGACAGAAATTGATAGCCTGAAACATCTCATTTTATTACTACTTAGACAAGTTGTGCTATAAACTTATAATGGAGTATTGTTAAATCACATATAATAACATAGCTTCTTAGTCGTATACACCAAAATATAGTAAATCTATATTTACAAACATAGGATGATAGAAGAGAAGATTAGCAAAACAAGTGTTTAAATATATAGAGCAAGTTAGTCAGGTTTGTTAGATTGTGGATTTTCTTCTTTTGATTATCAATAATGCAATTTTTATTAGCAATCAAGATATAATATTCTAACAAAAATATAAATGAACATGGGTTATTCAATCTCTCTTCTCAAATGATTTATTAATTAAATTTTCAAAAAATTATTTAACCTTTGGAGGAATAAACTTTGCTTCATTCCATCAAATGTAAGCATTTGTCAGCCATCCTCTGTGTACATAATGTTACCTGCAATCAATTTTATATGGAGATATAAACGTGAACAATATAATGACTATGATTGTCTTTTCTTATCCTTAAAATAAATAGTGCAAAATGATCTATGTTTTCTAGATTATTATAATAAAAATAAGTACAGAAAAATGTATTGAATGAACAAGTGCATTTGATGAGAAAGTGGTATTTTAAAGGATACAATTTCTATATTGCAGCCACCGATGAACATACACTCCATTGTGGTGCAAGTCCAGTGTATCAACAAAAAAGTGGGCACTGTCATCTACCATGAAGTGCGAATCGTGGTGAGAGACAGGAATGACAATTCACCCACGTTCAAGCATGAAAGCTACTATGCCACAGTAAATGAGGTAAGTTTCTATCTACTCTCTCTTTATGTCTGTTTTTTTGATATATATAACTAATGATAAACTGTAAATATTTATAAATTATTCCTTTATAATAATGAGCTTAACTATTTCCAAATACCATGAATACATTTTAAGGAATCATACTTGGAAGAAATATATGACTTCTAATGTGATTTCAGAAATTCACTTTGCCACAGGAAAAATTCAATTCATTTATAATAATGACCAAAGAGATTTTAATTCTATCATCTTAGATAATTTGTTGTCTAAACCCACATACATGCTTACTGAGAAACAACAGGAGTTATTTATCATTATTGTAAGAAATTGGACTAATGTTTTTGTCTATGAGGTGGTCATATTAATGATTATACTGGAAGAAATATCTGAGACTATATTAATTTGAAGTTATTTTCTCAGTTTTAAAATCATGTTCTGAAGGATATGTAAAATTTAAATATAAATCCCAGCTGAATTCTTACAAGAAAATGCCAATCAAATTAGAAAAAAATATCTTTATTAGAAAGTGCTCTTTTGTTGTATGATATTTTGCTTTGTTTTATTTCTCTTTGAGCCAAAATACATGAGCTAAGAACCCCTTTCATGTGTTTTTTTTAATAAAAATAGTGGTTACATTATTAATTTTTTAGTTAGTCCAGTAAGCTGGAAAATATTTCTAGAGTATTTCTAATGTTGTTATTATGTATCCTTTATACACATGAAAAAACATGTTGTTTAATGTGATAGTACATATTTTATCAAAACATCTTTACCTTTAAGACTTTTTTAATCTTAAAAAATACATACCTACTTATAGAAGGAAATAAAAGAGCATTCTTTATTTTAACTTTAACTTCTACATTCTTTTTGAAATTATTAAAAATATGTTTTATTTATATCAATATTCTTGCATTCATAAAAATGTGAAGAAATTATATTTCACATAATCTGAGACTTCGTAGGTTATATTATTAATAATTAAGAAAATCCCATAAATTCCTGTTTTAAGTATTTACTGACTGATCAGTAAATACTTAATGTCTTTGAGCCACACTTTCATTGAACAGTTTCTGGTATAATGCTAATTAATAGCCAACTAGTTAGTTTTAAATATATGTAGATGATTTTGTGTTAGCATCTGAAGTCTACCCTTTGAATTGATTTTGCTTTGTTTGGTTGAGTGCTAACTTTATTTTGAAATAAACTGAAAGATGAATTACCTTAGGCAATGAATCTACTTATAAAATGTTTCAGTGCCATATTTAATTGCTCCTGCATCTTTATCTATAGTTCATTTTTGGAATAGAAATTTATAAAGTTCAATTTGAATTTCAAAGCATCCTATGTGATTTGACTACTTCCACGCCCCTCTCTACTCTTTTCAGTGCCTTGTTGAAAGATAATCTTTCTCAAATATTTTAACCATGTCACTATACTATTAAAAAATTTTGTAACTTCTCATTATTGTCAGGTAGAAAAAGTCCACCTCTTTTGGCATACTTTTAAGGTATTCCATAATCTTACCATTTGTCCATGTATTCTTAACTTTAAATTCTCTCTAATAATACTTCACTACGTTTAGATAAACTTCCTCACGTCTCATAAGTATTTCCACTTCTTGGACTTTGCTCACACTGTTCCTCTTACTTAGAATGAGATTCTCCTTACCTAGCAAGCCTCCAAGTTTGATTCATCTTTTAAAGTCTAACTCAAGACATATTTTCTTGAAGTCATCCCTGAATATTCACATTTATTGATCTTCAATTTCTCTAAACCCTAAATTCTTATGTTATCCGAATAAATGTGAATTAGAGTGATAAAATTTATAGAAAAGTTAAGCGTTTTATCTTAAACAGTATTTTGGGTCACCTGGGTTCTTTTCCAAAGCTGCCCATATATAGTTAAACTGATAATTTTCTCACAAAGCATTTCCCTATAGCCAACCAAGACAATACTATTCCACTGACTCTATGGTTATATCTTCTATGTTGTAATGATATAGGACGTGTGTACTTGAGTATCAAATTTTCAACCTTTGACTTTGCTCATACTGTCTAATGTCTATTTTTTAGAAAAAAAATCAAGACATGTTTAAACTTCAAAACAGCATACCAAGAAAAATTTAAATTTAGCTATTATTCTTCATTTGAGTATTTCTTGCATAGCGGTAGTTCTTATTTCATTTGACATGAATTCTTCATTGGGAAAATATGTTAAAATTATATGTATATGTGCATGTGTGTCAATATCCCTGTCTCTTCTAGGTGCAATGCTGTCTGCAAAATAAAATTGAGTCAAATGGGTTTTACTGTGTGCAAGATTGCAAGACATTTTTCATACTGTTTCTCCAATTAGTATAATACATGAAGTTTTTACAGTTAAGACTCAAAAGTGATTTTCAAAAAAGCCTCATCATTTAGGGTTTAATAGATTGCTGGTGTCAAAATATTTTACACTTCATTAAAATATAAAAGATAGTTATAAAGTCATTATCACAGAATTATGAAAGAAGCTTCAAAACTATGGTCCTGATTCGTCACTCTTCTCATACATTGTGAGAAAACTGAGACCAGGAGTAGTAGGATAAATTGACAGTTATATGGTAAGTTGGTCACAAAGTTGGCAATAAAATCAAGTTCTTCGCTCAATCATCTGTTCACTATTAATAGACACCCTAGTATGCTAAATCATAACCACTTTCATGTACCTGATTTTAGAAATAAATATCAGGATTTATATTTATGGTATTATAGCACAATATTATAATCACAATCAACACTTTTGTAAATGCATTAAATGCCATCCTCTTACACACTTTATAAACATGTTCTATTAGTTTGTGAAGAATTCACCAAAACATTACAAATGCCAGTATTTAAATGTTGAGCAAGGAACATAACAAGTTTTATAGTTTCTTGTTTGTGAAAAAGACATAAGGCATTGCAAGTATTTTTATCTTTTGAGGTAATGGAGATACCCAATTAGTTTAGAACAATTGTATCATTAAGAGATAGTCCAGCTGGTTTCAAGAAAAAATTGCACAGTTCAATTGTTGCTGATCATTCTTAAGCAATGTTTGGAAGATAAATCATTCCTGACAGTGATAACGTTAGTAACACATGCATCCCCCAAAATTATTTTGATATAAGTAAAGAAAGGCAAATGAAGGCAGATATAATGTTGGCCAGTGAAGAATTTATCTCAAGTTAGTAGAGGTTATGTTTGTCTCAGTTTTTATGATCTCCTTGCAGAAGGGAAAAATTTCAGTCAACATTAGTTTATTATTTTTATCACCTTAAGGCAGGCAGGAAGGAAATATAAAAACCACTAATAGCATGTTTTAGCAGTGGTATATGAAGTAATTTAAAATTTAACATTCATGGAGCTATTTCTATATAGTGAGAACTGTGCTAAGCTCTTTATTATGCACATTATCTCATTTAGTTCTAACAGTAGCCTTGCTTAGGAGGCTTGAGAAGTCATATAACATTCCCAAGTACATCAAATTAATGGTAAAATTAATATTTTAAGCCAGGTTTTTCAAACATCAGAAAATGTTTTCATAGCTACCATATAGCCTCTCATCTGAAGTATGAAACATGTATCTGAAGGAAAGCTCTTAGAGCAACATTTATGGTGCTGTGACCACTAATAGGTTGTTTTGATCCATATGCATTTTAATAGACCATTTTAGTTGCATCTACTAGATATATAATTATTACATATATGTCATAATCAACATCAAGTATTGAGGATAATGTTGAGTATTCATTAATGCAGATTTTAATACTAAAATGGAATATACGGTAATTTTTCTTATAAGCTTCAGCTGTGCCCTGTTTATATTTTGAAAAAATTATGTTGTTTTGATGGGAGATTTTCAACCAATGCTATCATTTTTCAAAATACAAAATTTGAATTATTTTGAACCTATAATCTACAGTTTAAATAAGCTTTACATTTTCTTTAATTTTGCTTTGTACAAACAATAAAAAAATTCATTTTTAAAGGTCTTAAGGTCAAAAGATCTGCTTTTTGCTCCTAATAGCATTAAGTGATGATTGGGCAGCCTTTCGAGATTTATATTATGAGGTCAATTATGGACCACAAGCCAAATATGACATATTGCCACCTGTTTGCATATGGCTTATGAATGAAAATGACTTTTAAATTTTTAAATATTTGAAAAAAAACACTAAAAAGTAATATTTTGTGACATGTAAAATTTTATACTATTCAAATTTTAGTAACTATAAATAAATTATATTGCAACATAGCCATGCCCATACATTTTGTATTGTGGCAGAATATGTGCTATAATGGCAGATTTGAGTAGTAGTAACAGAACCAGAATGGTCCCTAAAGCTGGAAATATTTACAAATAGCCCTTTACAGAAAAGGTTGCTGACCCCTGTTACTCTATTTGACATATAGTAAGATATAAAATAACTATAGATAACATACATATTAGATATGATGCATTTACTTTAGAGATAAAAGTGTGTGTGTGTGTGTGTGTGTGTGTGTGTGTGTGTGTGTACAGGCATACCTCAAAGATATTGGGAGGTTTGTTTACAGAGTACTGCAATAAAATGAATACTGTAATAAAGCAAGTCACTCAGATTTTTTTGTTTGTTTCACAGTGCATATAAGTTATATTTACACTCTACTGTAACCTGTTAAGTGTGCTATAATATTATTTCTATAAAACAATTTGCATACCTTAATTAAAAAATGCTTTACTGCTAAAAAATGTAAATGATCATCTGAGCTCTCAGTGACTCACAATCATTTTCCTGGTGGAGGATCTTGCATCAATGTTGATGGTTGTTGATTGATTAAAGTGGTAGTAACGGTTGTGGTGGCTGAGGCAATTTCTTAAAATAAGACAACAACGAAGTTTGCTGCATCAGTTGACTCTTCCATTCACAAAAGACTACTATGTAGCATGCAATACTGTTTGATCTCATGAGACCCACAATAGAACTTCTTTCAAAATT